TCTTTATTAAATTTTAGTTTGTGGAGATTTTAAAATTTAATAAAGTAAATTAAAAGTAGGGGAATTTAATTAGATAAAACGTTAAAGTGCAAGCACAACACACAACAATTTGATTTAATTTGTAAAGCAGCAAGCCAAAACCGAAAAGACACGAGGAGAGGAGCAAACTTTAGGACCCAGTACGGGACCGAATTTACAACACATAATGCCCAGGCGAAACTAGTCCACTAACACACCTATTGGGGGTCGACCCCACACAAAGATAAAGTCCTAATGAACTTTTGAACCTCTCTGCTCAAAGGTGATTGAACAGATGTGCTGAAGTCTGAAAGAGTTGACCGTACTCACCCAAGAAAGAAATGAGTGAAGCATGTCAACGGAAGAAGGGTAATCTGGTCATAAGGAGGTCTCAACATCCAGACCACCTTTGTCAATGGGTTTACATAGCTTATTCCAACTTCTCCAATGAACCTTAAAATTGCCTTTGCCTTCTTCTCAAAGGAATTTATTAAAAAATTTTTTCAATTTTTAATAAACCCCATAGGCATGTTCATCACTTGCAAAGAATAAAGAGGAAGAGAGATAATCACTCTCTTAAGAAGAGTGATACACCCACTAAAAGAAAGAAATTTATTCTCCCAAGATAAAATCCTAGACCTGATTTTGTCAAACAAATTCAAACAAAGAGCATTAGGATTCCTTCCCTTATCCAGCGTGAAGCCCAAATAAGTCAAAGATAACCGAGCCTTATTACAACTTGTAAATTCCATAATCTAATCTTTCTTATCAACCACAACTGTTTTAGAACAGTAGAAAAATCACTTAGAAGTATTAAAATTCAAACCAGAAATAGTTTAAAAATTAATAATCTCATCCCAAACTCTTTTTATGGAACATTTATTAGCATTAGTAAAAATGATCAGATCATCAGCAAAGCATAAATGTGAAATACTCAAATGACCTTTTATGTTTATAATTCACAGAAGGATAAGAAAGACATAAGCTATTCAATCTTCTAGATAAGTAGTCGAAAGCAGAAATAAAAAGATAGGGGGATAGAGGATCACCCTGTTTTATTCCTTTATAAGCTTTGAAGAAACCATACTTATTGTCATTGATAAAAAGAGAATAATAATTGTCATTGAGAATCCGATAGTGAGCTTGCAAAAAGTATCATTAAACCCAATAGCATGAAGAATGTCTATAATGAAATCCTAACTAATAGTGTAAAAAGCTTTCTTGATGTCCATTTTAAAAATGACATTCACACCTCTAGTGATAGCATCGATATCCATAATTAACTCTTGAACAAGAAGAGCATGATCACAAATATTTCTATCTTTCAAGAAAGCAGTTTGATTCAGACTAATAATTTGATTGAAAATAGGTTGAAGCCTTTTAACCATAATTTTGGAGATAACCTTTGACAAGACAATATTTAGACTAATAGGTCTAAACGCATCCCAAGTAATAACATTACTCGTCTTAGGAACCAAAGTAATATTAAAAGATTTAAAATATTTAGGCAAATCCTTACCTCTGAAGAAATCCTGAATAGTTTCCACAACATCTTTATAAATTATATCCCATCCATGTTTATAGAACTCAGCCATAAAGCCATCAGGTCCAGCAGCTTTACCTTTCTCCATATGATCAATTATATCTTTAATATCCCCACTACTAGGAATACAAGTAAGCAAGGTATTAACAATCATAATACCATTATTGTAAAGGGTGTTATCTATAAAACTTTGATGTCTTTCATCCCTGTTAAAAAAAGTAGAAAAATATTGAATACCATTATGAACAATATCAGAAATATTAGTCAGCACCGTACCATCCTTGTTAATAATTTTATGAATCGAATTGATTTTTCTACGATTCTTGATGCAAGCATGAAAAAAAGCAGAATTCCCGTCACCATCCAAAAAATAATGCATAGAAGCTTTTTGAGCAAAAAAAAATTCTCCTCCATATTAATAGCTTCATTCAACTGCTAATGCCCCTTAAGTAACACATCCAAATCAATGTTATCATTAACAAATTCCAATTCAAGAGCTTTAGCATTATCTTCAAGTCTCTCAATGTTCCTATGAATATTGCCAAAGACATCCCAATTCCATCTTTTAAGAACTTTAGCAAAATTTTTCTGCAGAATCCACAAACGATAACCAGAAGACCCAACAATAATAGTCTTCCAGTTATCCTTAAGCAATTGATTATAACTATCATGTAAAGTGCACATATTAAAAAATCTAAATTGATAATGCTTCTCATAAGAACTATTCATAATTTTTAAAAGAAGAGGAGCTTGGCCAGGAGCATCAATAGATAAATGATAAACTTTGTGCTGAAAAAAAGTACCAATCCAAGAAGAATTGGTAACAAAACGATGAAGCCTTTCAAAAACCCTACCTCTATGCCGGGTAAAAGGGTTCCCATGTTATCCTAAATCAAAGAGCCCTGCATCCATCAAAGTTTCATTAAATTCAGAAATAAGATTAAAATTTGGATGGACTCCCCTTTTCAGAAACAAAAGAAATAATATTGAAAGCTCTACCCATAAGCCAGGCTTCATTGGACAGATTGATTGATTTAATCAATGTACAAAGCTCAATATGCGCCTTCTTATTACAAACAACATAGATAATAGTGAACAGAAAAAAATCATGAAGATAATGAACTCAGATATGCAGCAATGGAGTATGATTGATAAGGATATCAATACTCAATGAATCTTTCCATAAGAACCAGATTTTATTATTGATGTTTGCAAGAGAATTGAAAGCACCAAATCTCCTAAAGTAAATCTAATTATTATTAGCAACAACCATAGGCTCCAAAATGCCCAAAAAATTAAGATTATAAGTACAAATCAAATTTTTAAGTTTATTAGAAGCACAAAACTTAGCAATAAAGCACTTAACCATTTAAATTTTAAAAAGTAACTTTTTTAAACATTAAAATTGACAAATTATCTAAAATATTCATAACAGTCAAGCAAAATTATGATTCTTTGTTTTGCTCAAAATATGTAAACCTCTTTTCATAAGAAAACATAAAAAGTCTTCTTAAACGTAAGCATGCAAATCTTTGGTGAGAAATCTAGACCAAATTATACTTAATATTTAGCTTTTAGATCTCTCACATATTTGATATTTAAAAATACATTTGTGTGCAAAAATATTTACTTTTATTTCTTCTTAAAAAATGCTTTCGGATGAAAAGAAAACTTTGTTTGAAAATATTATACATGTAAAGGGAATGCAAGGTAACTTAAGTGCTCTATATGGAAGTACAACAGAGATTAAATAACATATATATGAATTATTTTCATGTGACATTGAACATAGAATAGAAAACTAGATGGAGAATTGTAACCTAGAATAGAAAACCAATAGAGACAGAGGAACATCAACCTATGATATAAAACCTATAAAGTTAGGAGAACTTAGAACACTTGATTCTCATGTTGATCGACTAACTACGAGAATGATGACCTCTTTTTTACATAAGGTCTATCTTGCTCATTTCTCTCTCAAAAGCTTAAGATTTAGCCTTATGATTTTTTTAGAGGGCAAGTGATGAAACCAAAAACCAAGTTAAGCCTTTGAATAGAATCTTCACTTCTTATAGTTTCAAGCACTTGATTTTAAGTTCTTAACGCTTTACTAAGTTTATCGAGGTTAAGCAATTAATGCTTAAGTTGAGTTCCCATAGGTACGGAAATGTCCTAAGCCTCCCTTTAACCTCAGAGACATTTTAGGCTTTCGATTTGGTCTTCTTTGGACACCTTTGCACACTCTTCACCTAATTGCTTGGATAATTCATTATTTAGTTTGAAAAGAGCACGTTTAGTATGTTGTTCATTTTGAACCTTGGTTAAATTTAACTATTAATATAAAAAAAATAAAATAATATAACAAACAAAATAAAAATTAAAATAAAATTGTAATTAAACCTTATAAAGGATTCATCACAATCCAAAGTTCAAGCATAAAATTTCAAAGTTAATGAGAGAAAAATACAATGAAAATCAAATTCATCAAAAATTCAAAATTATTATAGAACATTATAAAATTTATTTTTCTACAAAATAATAATAAAATAAAAAATAATTAAAATGAAAATTGACCCCAAAAAAAAAAAAAAATTCAATCACAAATAAAATCAAAACTATATAAATTTAAAATAAAATGAAAATAATCAATTCTATGAATAAAGAGAAGCTTTGATTTTATTTCCTTGGTTCTTTCTTAGTATGTGTTTTCTCTTTTAATGGTCTTCAATTATTAGTAAGATTTTATACTTAATTTGTAAATGAACTCTAAAATAAACATCTAATCATCCCAATTGGTTCCAAACCCTAAACCCTCAATACTTATAAAAATTAATTTATTGCATTAATTATAATACAATAGTATTAAATAAGATCATAATCTATTACTTGTAAGTAAATAAACTAGCAAAATTTTACATTACAAATTAATGTTTGAAATTATTATTATTTTTTTATTTTTTATAATTAATTTCTATTATGTTACCATAAGCCAATTTTAATGATAGTCATAGATTTAATAAGAATTTTACAAAATAAAAAAAAATAAAATTAATTTATTCAAAAATACAACATTTATCAATCATTCACACCAATTTTGCTCCATCCTTCTTACCATATAATATTATAAAATAAAAATTTTATTAATATAATTAAAAAATAAAATAGAACTCTAAATATGTAAATAAATACATATACATCCAAACGACAGAGATTAACTCGGAGGAGAAATTATTCCATACAGACTGCAGTATCCGATCTCTATCGTCGATCACCACAATAAAAAAAAATAATAAATATAAGACCCACTAAAATACATCTTTATGATAATGGACTTTGGCCCGGATGATCAGTTACAGCTCAGCTCCACATCAGACGTAGACGGTTACGGCTCTCTCCTACTCGCTCCTCCTCGGCCGCGAGATTCGCTATGCCATAAAGTTCCTCTAAACCCCAATTTTGAACCATCTCTCTCCTTTCCTCCTCCATTTTCTCTCTCCTTCGTTGATCTTCCTCTTTGATTCTTTTCTTCTCTAGCATCCTCGGAACTACGGTGATGGCGGGAACCAGGGAGGAGTACGTTTACATGGCGAAGCTCGCAGAGCAGGCCGAAAGGTACGAAGAAATGGTTGAGTTCACAGAGAAGGTTGCAGCAGCCGCGGATAAGGAGGAGCTCACTGTTGAGGAGCGAAACCTGCTTTCGGTAGCCTACAAGAACGTGATCGGGGCTCGCCGCGCCTCGTGGAGGATCGTTTCGTCCATCGAGCAGAAGGAGGAAAGCCGCGGGAACGAGGACCATGTCGCGACGATCAAGGAGTACAGGGGTAAAATCGAGACGGAGCTCAACGCCATATGCAACGGGATCCTGAAGCTACTCGATTCCCATCTAATCCCCTCTGCTTCTGCCAGCGATTCGAAGGTCTTTTATCTCAAGATGAAAGGCGATTACCACCGTTACCTCGCTGAGTTTAAGACAGGATCTGAACGCAAGGAAGCTGCCGAGAATACCCTTACTTCCTACAAGTCTGCTCAGGTCGGCTACCGCTTCACTTCTGTTTAGTTTCTCTGGTTATTTGCAGATCTGATGTGTGTTTCAAATCGTCAGAAGTTTTCTTCGATATATAGTGTTTTATTTTGTTATATTTTATCTTTTGCGCGTGGATCTGTTCTTGATATAATTTATACGGTTTGCTTTGCCGATTTGGGTTTGATTAGGATGTGATCTGTAGGATATTGCTGTGGCGGAACTGGCGCCTACTCATCCGATAAGGTTGGGTCTTGCTCTAAACTTCTCGGTGTTCTATTATGAGATCTTGAATTCACCTGATCGGGCCTGCACGCTTGCTAAGCAGGTACAATTTGCAATTTACGTTATATAGTTGAACAGTAATTGCTTTATTTGTTTTGTATGTTTGAAATTGGATAATTTTTCCTCCTTTCATCTATCAGTTGTTTTAGCGTGGGTTTACATACCTGGAGTTTGAAATCGAAGGGGTGTTCTTCATATTAGTTTGCTGTTTCGCTGCAAGTAGGGTTTTAGTTAATAAGAATTTAGTAAAACCTAAGGGAGTCAAAACTTAAAATGATGTCGCATGCTGGATCTGATTAAATTCTGGTAGGCTTTTGATTTCGGGATTTCTGATTCAAATGAATGTCATTTAATTAGTTTGTTAGAAATGGTGTTAGTAACATTCATAGATACCAATATCAGTTAAACATAAAACTATTTACTGAATTCAAAACCAGAGTGGGGGAAATGGGAACAGTCTCTTAAAGTGAAGAGTTTTCCTTGCGCTTAATTACCTGAGCATTCTCTGCTTCGGCTAGGCTTAGGGCCAAAAAAACAGCATTTAAATCCAGGGTTGCCCACCACCCCGAAGAGCTCTTTTAGGAGGTGACAAGTGGCATCAAAGCAGATTACTGCCTGTCAGGTGTGTGCTCTCCATGGTTTAGTGGGACCCTCGGTGGAGCCAATCCATGACGAGGACGTCATGTGATTGGGTGGATGGAAATGTCACAGACAATAAGTCCTACATCGGCTAGGTGTAGGGCTGAAAAGCTGTATTTAAGTCTTGGGCTGCCCATCACCCCGAATAGCTCTTTTGGAAGGTGACATTGAGCTCTCTTGCAGTTTCATTTATCCTTGTTTCATTTTAAGGATACAAAAGCCTTTCTTTTGTGCTTGATTGTATATTTATTATATAATTGCTTTCAAGCAAGTTTGCAGCTTTGTTTAAGTTATGTAGAGCTCTGAGATTTATTAAAAGCAGGCCCTTTTCTGGGAACAGGAGCAATGTTAATTGTGTTGTCTTTGTTGTCTGCTGATGCGTTACAATGTACTTGTTAGGCGTTTGATGAAGCCATTGCCGAACTGGACACGCTTGGAGAAGAGTCATACAAGGACAGCACTCTCATCATGCAGCTCCTCCGCGACAATCTCACCTTATGGACCTCTGACATGCAGGTAAACTTAATGTGCACCTTGTCTTTGGAGACAGTATTGTGTATTTAATTCTTCATGCAAAAAAATCTGAGGAATTAATCTGTCATGAAACAGGATGATGGTGCTGAGGAGACCAAGGAAGCTGTTAATCGTGAGGAGCAGTAGCAGCAGAACTTGTTTGATTCAACAGTCTTTTTACAATTTTTATCTGTCCAATGTTTGTGTTTGCTAAGTAGGATATGGATATCCTTGTGGTTTTTATGGGGTTCCATTCCTCTTTGTATTGTACTGCTTTCGATTCCTACGGTTAATTTCTCGTTGTGTTTATGATTCGACCAGTTTGTTCTTTGCGCCACCTGCTTCCACTGTTTTTATGGTACAAGATATATTTATATTGGACTCTTTGTCAATCTTTTGCTTTATTGTAATCAATGCCTTGCAAGCCCTCATCAAAAGTTGTTCTGTTTCTGTGAGATTCATTTTAGTGAAAGAACTGAGTGATTTTTTCCCATTTTAGATTCAGTATTATTGTAGAAAAATGCTATGCTGCCCAATTCATGGATAAAAATAGAAAATGTATTTTCTTTTAGGGGTTCAGTGAACTTAAATCATAAATATAAACTTACAACATATGCAAAGCCTTGAATTCAGGATCTCTTGATTGATAGTCTAATGTCACCCCAAAAGAGCTCTTCGGAGCTCTTCGGGGTGGTGGGCAACCCAGGATTTAAATACTGTTTTTTTGGCCCTAAACCTAGCCGATGTGAGATTTTTTGTCTGTGACATTCTCTTCCACCCACTCACGTGACGTTATCGTTATGGATTGGCTCTACTGAGGATCTCACTGTACAATGGAGAGATCAGACACCTGACAGACAATAATCGGCTCTGATACCACTTGTGGCCTCCCAAAAGATCTTTTTGGGTTGGTGGGCAGCCCAGGATTTAAATACTGTTTTTTAGCCCTACATCTAGATGATGTGGTACTTTTTGTCTGTGACACTAAGCTCTCGGCCAAAAACCTTGAATAAAATTGAAATATTAGTTAAGCACTGCGGTCAATTCTCTTATACCGAACATCATATATTTTTATTTCTTGGATTTTTACGTATCAATCATTCAAAATATTAAATATTTTTTATCACAAATTTAAAATTTATTAGATGGTAAGCGTATTTATATTAATACTGAGCATGGATAAATGCCATTCTACCTATTTTAGGAAAAATTGGCCCACGAGAATCCTGACCTAATTTCTGTTTGGGTCCATGTTGCCCAACTATCGTGGTCTGAAGCTGGAAGTCGTTGGACTGGGCCAACTTGTCTGCCAAAATGGGCATACCTATGGACCCCATAACACAACATGCGCGTGAATTCTGTTGTTATTCCACGCTCTCTTGCCCGGTTTTTCAGCAATGGAACTCAATTAGTCGACGTAACTAACGGTGCCGTGGCCGCAAGTAGAAAACATGTTATTTGGTAGCTTGAGATGCCGACGGGAGGGAAGAAATCCCTCGGCATTGTTGTGGAATGTGGACCCATCATATCGTCATATCCTGTGGCCTCTACTTTCACTGGCCCACCACATGCATCGTGCATCATGGACATATCCAGTGGGCCTTGGCTCATTTTATTATTTCAGGGGGAAAGAAATTTATTCTTCTCTCTCTTCTTTCCCTCTCTTCCCCCTCTGTCTCTCTTTCTTTTTCCCCAAAAAAAAAAAAAGAAAGAGAAATTTGTCCAACGAATTTGGTGAAGATTCCCAATCATTTTATCTTTTTCTTTTTAATTTTTGCAGCATTTTCATTTCAGTTATAAAGTGAAGTATTTAGCCTGTAGTTATTAGTAGATTACAAAGATACGATAAAAGGTATGAAAATAGTCCATTCGATTCATTATTTTTTATTATTGTTTACAGAAAAGGGAGAAAGCTATCCAATTAGACATTGGATATTACTATTCAGTTCCTTACCCAAATACATCGAACTGCTAATCTCTCATTCATACTTTCTAATTGCCAAAACTCCAATCTGTCCCAATCTCATCAAATCTCTCAACGATTTATAGCCTCACTTATCCCTAATGCCCTAGCAATGATATCCCAAAGGCCTTGCCACCAAAGAAAAGATAAAAAAGTACTGTGGAGAAGAAATAGATACCTGTTAGAACGACATCACATGATTTTATGTTGATGTGTGTCACATATATAACATAGAGAGAGCTATAAGTTAATTAGGAGAGTTTGTTTTGATTCAGTACTTACGATTAAAGATGTGATGGTAAGCTTCTAATTGTGATAATATGATAGATCTATTTGCTAATCCATTTTATATTAACCATAGGAGTTGTTGATGCCATTATTACCTCACTTAATGTTAATACTTTGAGATAAGATTGCCAACTTAATGTGGAACTTATGAAACTGATTGGTGAAAAACATTTTAGTGAAGATGTCAACGTCTTGAACCTAGGAGTTGACATAAAATACCATGATTTATTTGGAGAAAATATAACCTTGTATATAGTCATAAGTCTCTTCTTTTGTGCTCTATATTGCATAAATATAGAGATATTGACTAATTCAATAATAGAGGTAGTGTTGTAGTAAATATGAGTGGGTTTGCATTTTGGTTGTTGCAATTTCCATAAATAGTAGAGCTATATGATGTCATTAGCAGTAGCAACTAACATTATGTATATGGAATTGGTCAATGATTAAGTGATTTGGGTTGCTTTTTAAAGCTTGATGAGACTACTGCAATGATAAGAGAAAAAATCTTTTTTAATTTCCTATTGTATTTAAGTATATATAAATTATGAGACTCCCTTTCTAATTGGACAAATTAAAGTTTCAGTTTTTTTTTTTAAATAGCATAGTAGTCTTTTGAGAAGTTGAATGTGATAGTTCAAGGAATAATTCATAGATTAATAAATATAGTTTATCGTAGAAGGAGAATGTTGGGTTATACAATTGTAAGGTATTGAAGAGATCATATGAGATGTTGGTAAGGTGTAGGACTATTCAATGCTTTTCTTAAGTCATTAGCAAACAATGGTTTCTAGTTAATAAGACTAATGATGGGGTAGTAGTTTTCCATTTTGGATTTGTAAAGAAGCTCATTGACATACTTTTCTTGGAAAAAAAAAGAAATTTTTAAGTTATTGGTGTAACTTGAATGTTAAGGAAGAATAAGATAAGTCTGATTTACTTTAAATAAAAAATGTGTGAATGTTTTAAATGATGTCCTAGCCGACATTGGTATTATTTCTCATGATAAGAATGTTGTTAATATACATAAAGAAGTACAGATTGAGCTATTATTAATAATAGATGAGCAAAGAAGGGTCTACAGAGGTAAAATGAATATCTGGCAATAAAAGTTGTCTTATGAAAGTGACAAATCACTATTGATCAGAAGTTTGCCTAAATATATACGTGGCTTTCTTAGCAGTAATATAAGATTGAGCTGTTGCAAATCTTGGAAGCTAGGACTTAATTCAAGTTGATAGTCTCATTGAGCTTACCATGGAGAAACATTTTGGAAACATTAATCTATAAAATATTTTAGTTTAGATGGATGAATATCATGAAAAATATGGATTTTAAGCATTTTTGTTAAATGATTATAAATATATGTATAGTAACGTCCATGCTTTACTCCTACCCTTAAGCAGTAAGACAAATGTTATAATGAGCAATGGTGCCATAATGGTAAAGTTATATTTTTATTTGTCATTGATAATCTAATGTAGTCGATGTGAGGGTGGAGATACAAATATCTAAGTTTCTTATTGCTAAAGGGTATGAAATTATTTATAATGTTTTGTCTCCATATGAGTTCCTAGATAACATGGGTATAATAGAATGATTGGGTAAGGAGGGATGATCTTGATAAAAGTTAAAAATGTACTTGGGATTTAGCAAGCCTATCATGGTGATTATAAGAAGAATAATTACATGACTCTACAATACAAAAAAAAAAGAAAAAAAAAAAGACAACAACAACAACAAGATTTATGTGAAAGCCCTAAATGAGAAGAAACAAAAATAGAGAAAAAGAAGTTATTTGATAATAAGAGTAATAATTATAAGGGTTTATATTGTGAGATATTTTGGTTCACCCACCGACAATGATTTAAGTATAGTTTAGATTGTTGTGAGATATGTTTCTTTTACCTTACTAATTATTGTGACATGATAGTAATGCAACGTAGTAAAAGAGGAACTATTGATTTAAACAATTGGACATCGTACCTAGTCGAAAAATTATTGGTGTGAAGCTATGTATGTAAGGTTATGTTCAAATATATTTAAACAATAATTCATGTAATATATATATATTTCTTAAACCCATTGTTTGCCTACTAACTACTAGTAGGGCCTTTAACCCGTAATGTCACATGGCATGGGTTTTTGTAATGCTTATTATTTAGATAGTTGGCAAGGATGCCTTAAAAATCAATTCCCAAAAAAATTAAAAAAAAAAACTGGTATAATCTTTTGCAGATGACTTAAATTGATGAGGCTTCGTACTTGTGGAGGGGAGGCTTTTTTGTTATGGTCCATTGATATCTAGCTTCAAGTTTTATAATAGATTATCCCCCATCCCTCCACTAGCACCATAAATCCCCAAAAAATATTTTCTCATAATTTAGTTAACCACATATGTCTCACCACAAATTTTTTTTATGCAAGCCCAAAAAAATTTAGTCATAGAATCTAATAGTGATCAAATATTAATTATCAATAGGATAAAGTAGTTGTTACGGGTGGGAAGGGGGTGGGGATGTTATTTGGTTTTTATTACTTATTAATTATTAAAGTTGGAGGGGAGTTAGAAATAGTGGCGAAAGAGGCAGTATAGTAGAATATGAGAAAATATTGATTAGTAAAGAGGGTGATGGAGATGGTGTGGGTTAAAGTTTTCCATCATTGAATTTAATCTTAATTAACATGCCTGATTTTATTGATTTAATATGGTAAGTGCGCATGTAGGTTTATAACTTCTTTTTTGTGTTTATTTTCAAGCTAGATTATAAGCGTAATTGAAGGAAAATATCATTGATGTCCATAATATGACAATTGGTGGTGTTTTTGAGGTCAATAGTTTGACATTGGATGCTTGAAGAGTATATTTTTCTATACTTGGTGGAGGAGGCACATGATGATGGTATGAAGGTCATGAGTGTGGGAGTTCATGATTTTTGTGTGGCTTTAGGTGAGAGATATCTTTGCTAGTATGGGAAGGCAATTTTAGGTTATAAATCATGGTAAATGATAGTGAGCTTTCCTATAATTTAGTTGTTGAGCTTAAATCTTTTGTGAGTTGATGAATAACATAAAATGATTTAGTAAGAGTAGAGTGGTGCATGTTTTTGGCATGATTGTGGTTGGAGCTAAATGAAGCATGAGCAACCAAAGTCTCACATGTGAGTTAATTTTCATAGA